CCTGAAACATTTAGCTGCCACTTAAATGACAGTTTCAAGGAGATGATGCCAAGATGCATGAAAGAGAGCAGAGGAAAGGAAATGTTTTCCATCTGGCCTGAAGCCACAACCCCCGGTGTAAAAGTGATGGAGATGAGACACTCCCTTCTAGGCTCTCCTGTGGGTGCCCTCTCCACTCTAGGGTCTTTGTGAGGGAAAAAAGGCACGCATATTGGTGGATTCCACCTTCCTGGAGGTCACTGGCAGGAAATCCTCCCCCCGCCATATTTTAGATTGGAGAAATAAAACATATTTAGTTTCTTTACCCAGTTGCACTGCTTGTAAAACATCCTTCATCACTGCTGGGCAACCTCTGTATCCAGTTTTTAAAACCACAGAGTATTTTTAGTTTGGCTATTTCCCAAGGGATTGGGGTGAACCGACTGTCAAAAAGAGTCTTTCTCCCAAAGCAGCAGAGAGTGGGTCATGGGCCCACGAGCAGGCCTGAAATATGGTCAAGTACTTCTTGTGCCTGAGACTGAACAAAATGCATTTAGCCACCCACAGGATCCACTCGATAGAGAATGGAGCAGAGATCAGACATTTTTCTGAAAATCACTGGAAAGCAGCCACACTGAAATGCACTCAGCAAAATAAAATCAGTAAGCCTGGGTATTATAACAAACAGTCAATGCCTGCTGAAATAAAAACTGTTGTGCTGGACTTATAAAGGGAAGAACAGGGTGGTGGCTGGTCTTTAGGTGGCAGGAGGAAGGACAGAGGTATAAGAACTATCGGCATGTAGCTGCCAAGACCAGCCGATTAGAACAGCTGAGCCGCTAGACAGAAATGCCCTTTGGTAGAGGGATTGGACGCTACTATAGGCATTATGAAAACATCTAAGGCCATCCAGAGCCTCTGCTCTGGTCTTAATTTGCTTTCTCACAGAGTGTTTCCTATCCAGGAGAGAACATGCTAATTTGATGGCATGCATATCCAATTACCTTGCAGGGCACAAATCTCATTATGATTTAATAAATTGACATTCCAGTCTTGTTTTGTTTTTAATCTCTTTTGAGCCTGGCTAGTGTGAATCAATTCAATGAGATGGTCTGAGCAAGAAGAATCAACAGATCTAATTTAGTTTCTAAACTTCTTAAGCCCAAGTCAAGGCTGTGGTCCCATGGCAGCCTGAATGAGGCAATGTGTCTCATTCTGCAAAGCTTATGAACAGAACAAGATGGTCGCTGCCTGCTGGCAACACCAGTTAATTATTCTTATTAGTGGTAATTTTCCTCAGGCTGATAGTAGTAACATCAATTATCATATCCCATGCTTGGCTATTTCAATGGGGCTCAGGAATTGTACCGCATTCTCTCCTACTCAAGCTTGGGTTCAGCTCTCTCCCTGGGACATATGTCCCTCTAAAGAGGCAGCTGTCAGTGATTTAAAGTGATGAAGGGTACCTTGGCAAGGGACACCCTTTGTCTCAAAAGATGGACACAGCATGCAGATTAGACTTAGTTCTACCTTTGTAGAGCTAATCATTATGCTGTGTACAATTAACACTGGCCAGTCAATATTTATGTGGCCTAGTTTTAAAAACTGAACAATGTAGGAGGCCAAATAGTAAGGGATTACCATAACTATTTTGCCTGTAGTTTCTTTTAGGCAGAGTGGTCAGACGTCACAGCGTGGGCAGCACCTCAGCTTCTGCCCTGACCATCCAGCTCTGCTGTTCTACTGCCTCAGCTCCTTAAGATCTTTCTCTGTTTTCAAAGTGGCAAATGTTTACTGTGTTTCTCCACAGTATGTTCTATCCCTGAGCATAATTTAGGCAAGTCATCATTAAATAATCTCCCTGAAGTTGTGAGAAGAAAGCAGCCTATGTGTATCATAAAATAGCATTTGGCCAAAGAAATGCTGATTCTCAGCTGGAGCGGGAAACTTTATTTCCTTAGGACCTGGGAAATCTTGGCTGAGCCAACCCTATCAGACTGGACACCAACATGATCTTCAGGATGTCTAAACACACTCCATCTTGCGTCCTCCCCAGTGGCTTCAGCTATGCAGACAAAGATGTTTTTTTGCAAGTCCTGATCCCCAAAAGAAGATTCCTGGTAGGATAAGGACCCATTGGTTGTATTCTAAAAAATGACTATACTTGATAGGAAAAAATATTCCCCCTTCCAAGTGATGGATAACATAGACCTGAGTGTGGAGCTCAAAAGAGGACTAATCCATCAAGCATCTGCCCCCCGCAAAAAAGAGACACACGCACGGCCCCTGGAGGAAACAATCTGCTGTCATGGCTTATCACAGCCACCTTGGCTGCAGTCTGGTAGCTCAGTGTGTCAGGTGCCCACATGAAAGTAAGCAGGCTACGGTCCAGCACACTGCCGAGGCTAGCCTCTCCCATCACAGGCACCCTGATGGATAAGCAGCTCAGCCTGGAGCCCCTGGGTGGCTGGCTTCCCTGCATGCTGCCTGTCAGTCAGGACCTGCTCAGCAGCCTTGCAGCCTTCAAGTGAAGGACAGGAATGGGGAGATGAGGTATGATGGGTCAGTGGGAAGCAGAATCTGGGACTGAGATCCCTGAGTTCTAACTTCCAGTGCTAGTTCCACCTGCAGGTAGCCTTGTGCCAGGAATGCCAACGCAAGCCTCAGGCCTGGCCCACATGCTTTCCACCAGTCTTCAGAGATGCTTAGGCACCCTGTTCCTCTGTCTGCGTCCTTCCGCTTGGGGGGCTCTCTCCTCTCCTCTCTGCTTATGTTAGCCTTATCCAATCTTCCAGACATGACTGGAGTGGTGTCTCCTCCTTCCTGAATATTCCATCCTCAATGGTTGCTTCATCCCAGAAGCTCCTGCAGCTGTACACAAGACTTCCTGTGTGTCACTTAATCTACTTATAAAAATTGTCCTGCCATGTACTCTGAGGAGAGACATGTTTTTGTCATCTTGACATCTCTAGCACCTAGCACAGTGCTTGGAACAGAGAAGATCCTCAAGAAATGCTAGTTGTTGTCACAGATAATGAACAATTTGAGGCTAGCCATTCTCTAAGCATAGCCATATTATGTAGCAAGTTATATCCAGGATCTAGCCTATCACTCATATAAGGATCTGAACATCCCGGACAGTACAACTGAGGTGTCCAACAACCACTCATCCTCTGCCTTACACTCTCAGAGCTCTGGAAGGCACTAAGGAAAACAGAAGCCCAGGCTGCCATTTTAAAGTCTGACACAGTCATGATACTGACCTGACACTAATCCCTGGAGCAAAACTAGTGGCTATCAGGTAATTGTCAAGTTTAAGTTTATCAAGTTTATGCTTACATACAAACAAATTTGGTATTTCTTTGCTTAATATTATACTTGTAGGGGAGAGGGAACACAGTGTTTAGTAGATTCTCAAAAGGGTATGCCCTGACCCTGATCCCATAAAGGATGAAACTACTACAGAGCCTGGCCAACATGCTTTGACAGTGAGAGTACTGTGTAAGCGCAATATGTTAGCTTTACAGTTCGTGTGAGTCTGGCCTTTGCCTTTGTCCCTAAGCAGGAGTCCTACAGGGCAAGTATTTTATAACGGATAAAATTCTCCTGTGCTAATGGGAAGATTCTACAGGAGCTGTCAACTAAATCCACACGAACCTCACAAAGCTTCCTGGTCAAAAGTGTGCTGTGAAAAGAGCATTTGCCTCTCAGGTAAGGAGACAAAGCCAATCCAAGGGTATAAGTCCACTGAGGATGCCACATACTTTCAGCATCCCCCACCCCAATCTTTCACTGGGTACAGGGGACTGCTAGAAAGCACTCCCTTCCTTGGTGAGGAGGAGGAGAAATTCATATCCTATCAATGACGGGCACTAGCTAGCCAAAACCCACCCTAAAAGTATGTTCCAGAGTAAGTCTTTTTAAGTATCACTGCAAAAGAAATTATAATTTAAAAGTAACTATAAAGCAGACTTAAGCAAAATGAAACCTAATAATAATAACAAAAACTGATTATCCAGAAATAACTGCAACAAACCCATGGCCACTGCATTTCCTGAGTTGTGGAGATAAGATACCTCAGAAGATATAAGGAATCCAAAGGCTATATTTTGGTTTTCACCACATTTTTTCTTATTGTGATTTCTTTTGGAGGCATCCTAATATTTTCATATGATTTATACCTCTAGGAAAGGCAAGGTAGCACATGAAATGATGCTCCACATGAGCAGCCATAAGAGAAATGCAAATCAAACCCACAGTGAGATTCTACTTCACACCTATTAGGCTATTATCAAAAAATGGGAAATAACAAATGCTGATGAGGATGTATAGAAACTGGAACCCTTGTGCACAGCTGCTGGGAATGGAAAATAATGGTGCTGCTTTGGGACACAGTATGGAGGTTCCTTAACAGTTAAACACGGAATTACCATATAATCCAGCAGTCCCACTTCTGGAATGCAACCCCAAAGCATTGAAAGGACTTGAACAGACGTTTGTACACCTGTACTTTTAACAGTATTATTCACGATAGCCAAAGGGTGGAAACCACCCCAGTGTCTGTTGATGGATGAACAGATAACCAAAATGTAGTACATACATACAATGAAAGATATTCAACCATAAAAAAACATGAAATTCGGACACATGCTGCAACATGGACGGACCTCGAGGACATTACACAAAGTGAGATAAGCCAGACACAGAAGGACAAATACTGTGTGGCCCACTTACAGGAGGTACTGACAGTCAGATTCACAGAAACAGAAGCAGAATGGTGGGTAGGGGCTGGGGGGAGGTGGCAATGGGGAGTTAGTGTTTAATAGGGACAAGTGTCAGTTTGAGAAGATGAAAAAGTTTTGGAGATGGATGGTGACGATGGTTGTATAACAAGGTGAACGTGCTTAGTACTGCTGAACTCACCCTTAAAAATAGTGAAGATAGTGAATTTTGTGGTATGAACATTTTGTCACATTTAAAAAAAGGGTAAAAAAGAAGCCAAGGTGGAAAGCAATACTTACAAGATATAGGCAATCACCCCAATGGACCAGCAGTCAACAGCTTTGCTGTAAGGTTTCTGGGCGAGGACCTCAGGAGCTGTGGATTGGTGAGAGAGACACAAGCTTGTCTTTAGATGCCCATGACAGGATATATTCTTTGATTTTTTTTGTTTTGTTCTATTACTTGGGCAGAACTCTGTAGTTCTCAAAATTGAGAGATAAGATCTGTATTATTTCTTGGCTTTTCTAACTAAAAAAAAAAATGAGGGTGTTTGTGTATCTAACTGATTATTAATCAAATTCAATAAATCGATCAGTCAGCAAGTACTTCACAGGCAGCTATTGTATGTCAGAGCTGTGCTAAGCATGTAGCTCATAGCAGACTGAGTCAGAGAAATGCATACTCAGCTTAGGGCCTGTGGTGTGACTTCACCTCAAAGCAACTCAAGCAGGCTCTTCTGGTCCCTGGATGAGGCCATTCTGGGAGCCACGGGGACACAAAGATGGAGTCCCCTCCTTCTGCCTTCATGGAGCTTACAACTGAGTAGAGGTTCGGCATAAAATTTGGTCTCAGGAGTACTGCACATGGCCTGCTCTTAGTTCATTCTCCAAGGTTTTGGGTGGGTACCTGTCAGCACTGTCACATCCTTCACTCTTCCGTGAAATAGGAAAAATGCTACTTAATTTCACTTCCTTGGTTCTAACCCATTATTCATCAAGAATCATCCATCCTGGAGTTTCAGTTTACTTGGTATTTTTCCTCACACTTCTTTTTTCTAGCCTTGTGGCTACAGCCCAGTGTTGTAAACTCACCTGATATCTGGCAACCAGGAGTGTCTGCCTCACACATTTGTGCAAAAAGTAAATAAATAAGAGAAAAGACAGTAATTCTTCACAAGCAATATTTCCCTTTTACCCAAATATATCTGATTGGAGTGTCTTTAGTACAGATTTTCTAGAAAAAGTAAGAGACCCCAAATCTTATTAAGGGAACATGTCAAGGGTGGGGGCTGCTAAAGTCTGGCCCAAATCTAATTTGAGGTTTCAGAGCCAGTTCCTCCAAACTTCTGATCAGACTTAAATTTTTTTAGCAGGAGCAAAATAAAGACATTTGTACATCGTTTCTTGCTATGTTCACCCTCAGCACAGAAGCAAAAGGAGAGAGAACTAAACTGGGGAACTCAAAAATGGAGAGGTAGCCCTCGGATAATTGGGAGCTGGCTGCATGGAAACTTCCTTTTCCCCATAACTGCTTAGAACATATTTCTCAGATGCTTCTGTTATGGCAATTGACAAAAGGGAGTCATTTACCACAGTAAATGTTGTGCTGATTTAGGAGGCATGCTCTCTGAGCTGATGCTCTGGGCTGAATGGCCACATAGGCACAGATGGTGGGAGGTGACTACATTTGCAGATGATTTCTGAGCCTCCTGGGCCCTCCTTGTGGCCTGATGGAAAGTTCAAAGAGGCAGAAAGGGCTCACGGAGCCGTGTCTGACCCAGCTTCACCTCTCAGCAGAACTGATGGCAGTCAGGGGTGCAGAGTCAAGTGGTGGGTAGAAAACCTGGCTGCCATGTCACATTGGGGCTCTGTACAGGGACGGCTAGCCAGCCTGGCCCAGCCGCTCCATGGAACCAGATGTCAACCAGTGGCACAGTGGCACTAGGAGCTCAGCGTAGGGTTCAGAGTGCAAACCCATGTAACCTACTATGTGCAACTTGGTGACAAACACCGAGGGAGCACCGAGAAGGAAGCTGCCAGCACATCCACAATTTATGAGCAAAGATTGGGCCCAGTCCCTGAGCCATTATTGTGCAAAGGGAAAGAGTCATGGCCCCAGCAAGCAGGTTCTCTTCCTAGGAAAAGCTAACATCCTGTGTTCTCTTGAGCTCTCCATCCCTATAGTTCTCTAGCACTGTGAATGTGGGAGGGAGGATTCTTTAAAAGAACACCTTACTCCGCACTCTCACCTGTCAGAAAAAGGAAAGTACTGGCCACCATCCATTGCTTGGAAAACAAAAGAATAAAGAACATGGTTTCCCTCCAAAAATCTGCACACCTGGGGGCATCTGCACAGCCAGAAATTCACCTTGCTTGGCAAATTTACCAATAGTTTGGAGAATCAAGCAAGGTGCAGCATAGACTTGCAGAGCAAGTAGTTGATTTTTATGCAACTTGGAGCTTGGATGTCACTTGAGTTGTTCACATTCTTGAAGCCAAAGATGATACTTATATAATTTTTAAAATATGAGATTTTGTTTAAATGGCAAAGTTTATAACAAAAAAAAAAAAAGCTACCTGGATCTTCTCTGGCACTTCTATTATGGCACCTGACAAGAGGGACTGCTGACAAAAAGATGCCAGGATCAGATTTATGGATGCCAGGGAAAGTCCAACTGATGAACAAGCAGATGTCAGGGTAACGACGATGGGGGTGAAAGTATATGTACTTGTGCCAAACTTTTCTTGTTCTTTTTGGTGTTGTGTCTTATCTGGGTTGTATCAACAATAACCATGACAACATATTTATGTTTCTTAACCAACTGTAGGCAGGGGAACTGTCTGTCTTCTGGTGAAGTTCTGAACTGTACTTGAAACAAATACAGACCATAAAGCCAGAAGTGCAATGTAAGCACTTAAAAAAGACAAAGCAAATTGATGTGCAAATTCATATTCTTGCCAATGGAAAATATTTTTAGAATTGCATAATGGCACACACACTAAGGGCCATTAATTCTAAGTTCACTTATGCTGCGATCCCTGAAACTAAATGTTTTTTTGGGACATTGTTTAAACTGTCTACCTACATCATTTAAAATAGCTACCTTTTATCTCATAATAATTATTGAAAAAAATTAATTCTACACAATATTTGAAATCCTCCTGACAATTTGATATGGGGACCCAATTTGATGCGCCCCTATTGGCTGAGATATTCTCTCTCCCGCTCTCCGTGCTGTGCAGCTGCTCTTTTGTTTCGCCAACCACTGGAAACCCCTGGCTTTGGGCCCACCTCCTAAGCCATTTTTTATCCCTTTCAGCAGTGCTGAGGCAGGTGGGGGCTAGGGGACTACCCTGCTTACTCTGATCTTTTCACTTTGAGAACCAGCCAAATTCCCTCATGTTATACCACCAGCAAGAATCTTGCTATAATTCTAAAGAGTCACAGTATCCAATTTACAAACTTCACACAACAAATGATCTTCCAGGCTGAGGAGGCCCAGAACACAGTCCATCCGAAGCCCTGGAAATGCACACATGCTCTCTGAGCCACGCCACCACAATCCCACCTCTCCCAGCACAGCCAGGAGATGCCAATGAGCTTAATCAAGGAGAAGTAATTTTCTCTTCCAATTATACCCAGCACAATTCATGTGTAGTGGGAGGTTGGTAATGACTTTCACCATCCCCATACCTTCTAATTGAGGGAGGCTTTGAATGAAAAGAACATAATTGGAGCTATTGACAAAGAGAGTAGTCCAGTACTGGGGCTTGCTAATGATGCTATCAACCCCTAGGCAGAGCAGGAATCCCTTAGCTTCCAGGAACAGCCATTACAGAAGGAAATATTCAAATGGAGATGGCACATACAGTCCTCCATGCATTTGAAGGCACACTTTCAGGGGGCGGGGGGCTGACATCAGTGGCAATATAGAGACCCACCTACCTGTAGGTGTTGAAAAGGATGTATGCAAGATAGGTAGCAGGTACTGTCCCTTAGACTTGGGCGAAGCCAGTCTTTCAGAGGTAGAGAGAACAGGGTCCCATGGGGACAGCTCAACTTGGGGGACATTTCTTGAGCACATGACAGTGGGGGTTCCCAGGTCCACTTTTCAAAATCCTGTAACTTACTAGCCTCTCGTACACTCCCACTGTACCTTATGCATCCCCACTGCTGTGTGACTCACTGTCACGTGCCAGCCTTCATCCTGTTGGGGAGCAGGGATATATTTCTAGCCTGTACTCTCAGGATTCGGCATGTTCTTATGGTCAATAGATGGCTATTCAACTGAACCTAACCTACTCAACACATACACCATTATTTCTATAAGAAAATGTTTTCCAAACTCCATAGAACTGACTTGCAAAAATACTCAGCTGCTTCAAATACTGTTGGTGAGTAAGCACAGGAAAAAAAAGAATAAGGGTGAGGGGTAACAAATGAATTTTAGGATGCAAGCAGATGTCAGCTGGGAAGTACCTGTGTTAGGTACAAATAAGATCAATCACTAAATACCTGTCCTTGAGCAAATGATTTCTGACAAGAACTTGGGGATAAAAGAGGCAGAATTAGTCTTCATTCTCTGCATGTGGGTGTTTGTCATTCATGCTGTTCTTCTCTTAAAAGCTTTTCTCAAAGGGATTTCAGAAGTACTAGTTCAAGGGGCAAAGGCAGAAAAGATATTCCTATTCTCTTAGAACCTCCTTTCTAGTGAGATCTTGGGGGCTATGAATTCCATTTTCTTGGCTATTCCTAAGAAAGAGTCACCCATCAGCTTGTTTAGGTTCCACCCATCAGTAGAAGTTAATCTCCATTCAAACCTTGCATCCCCAGCACAGCAACCCACAAACTGCTGGAGATGTCTGTGCACAGATGTGGTCTTCTTCTTAAGCCCCAGGCTAACTCATGCTCTTTAGTGAACAGTAGGTTCAAAATTTAAAAGAATTGAATTTACGGCTGTGAAATTCACTACCAGCCCACTGTGGAAAATTCCACTCGGTGGGAAATGTCTTCCATAAACCAAGCTGTTCTATAATGAGTTAGAGCAAAGGTTCCTGGCAAAGGCAAGAACTGCAGAGATTTCAAAAAAAAAATTCTGGAGGCCTTTCATCTTGTTTTTAAAACAAGTGCCCATTTTCCTTACTATGCGGGAGACAAGAAAGGCTAAAACTGAGTGGGACTGGAAGCGGGGAGAGTGGGTGTCCTATTGGGGTGGAATGGGGCACGGGCATCCATCCTTAGGCTCCAGTAAAGTAGAAAAAGAATTTTCCCTTTCCCTGCGTTCTCAAGGGTGTGCTGGAGAGCAGTTTCTGCAGAGAGAGGTGGCGGTGCTCTCACCCCGTTACCAAGTTCATGTTCCTTTGTTCACTAGTTAT